GGAATTTAATCCACTTACCCTCCAGGTTATTCTAATATGCATCAGGGTTGAGAACCACTATCTTAGATGTACAAATAGGGCATAGGGGTAATAGATGTTCTCAGGGAGTCTCAGACTAGGTCCTTGGAGATAGAAAGGTGGGAGGTATCAAGAACTCCTTAAATTTGAGGCTTAAAAAAAATCATTCTCAAGGGGATACAGCAAAGATTAAGAACCAAAGTATTCAGGGGCACCTGGCTGGCTTAGTCAGTGTAACATGTGACTCTTGATCTCAGGGGTCATGAAGTCCAGCCCCATATTAGGTGTGGTGCTTACTAAACAAACAAACCATAGCAGTCAATCTTATGTGAGTGGATGGTTTTATATTTTTATAGATCAGAGGTTGGTTAGTGCTTATTATTAATTTGTTTGAGTACTCCCATAACAAAGCTAGACAAGCAATTAGTGAGGTGGAGAGATGGCAGAAACTTAGATGACCATCATTTAACATGAAATGTACTATAGCAGTGCTTTAGACAAGTGCATATTTAAATATGTGTCAACTAACTTAAGCACTAATCCTTGAACATGTATAGTTGTGAAAGTTCAGTTGGGTATTGGGTAGTTTCCATCTCTTCCTCTAGTGACATCACAGAGATATTTACAAGGTGCCTTGGAAAGAAAGGAAAAGAATAATTCCCCTTGTGGAGATCTGAGGGGTTTCTTGAAGAAAGAAACATTTCCACTGGGCCTTCAAGAGTAGGTGGAACTTGAATAAGGTGAGGGCAGGTGTCAAAAACAGCTTGAGCAGAGGCTTGAAGGCAGCCTCACCTGACCAAGGCTGCTCACCAAGGCCCAGGACAATCTTGGGATCTTCTTGAAGGCTTAGAAGGAAAAGGTGGAAGGTACTGATAGAAAGGTATCTTGGGGCCAGCAGGTGGGGGGCCTTCCATACTGAGCTAGAATTACTGTAACCTAGGTGTTTAGAGTGGTGATTTTTTTTTCCTGATTTATTCTATTATTTTTCTTAAGTGATATAAATGCTTTATAATCCCCTAAGAAAAAATAGAATATAGAGATATACAGAAAGGAAGAAAGTCCATCACTCAGATAACCCATTTTGCCTGCTAAACATTTTCTCAAAGATAACTTTTTTTAAAGGGGGGGAGGAGATCCTGCTATGTAGTGTTCTAGCCCCTGCTTTTTCTACTTAAATGTAAAGCTTAAACATTCCTACTCAAGAAAGATTTCCTTTTTAGGGGTGCCTGGGTGGCTCAGTTGGTTAAGCGTCTGCCTTCAGCTCAGGTCATGATCCCGGGGTCCTGGGATCGAGCCCCACATCTGGCTCCCTGCTCAGTGGGGAGCCTGCTTCTCCTTCTCCCCACACCCTGCTCGTGCTTTCTCTTGCGCACCCTCTCACTCTCAAATAAATAAAATCTTTAAAATATAGATATATTTCCTTTTTAATGAGTCCTTAAATGGGTAAGTGAATACACCATAATTTAACCCATTCCACCAATATTGGATATTTTACTATTAAAAGTAGTGAATGATTCCACTATTTTGTTTATTAATTTTTATTTTACTATTATTTTATTTTTAGAGGACGAGAAAGTGCACATGCACATGTGTGAAGGGGGAGGGAGGGCCAGAGGGAGAGGAAGAGAGAGAGAGAATCTCAAGCAGACGGCACTGATAGCAGAGCCCGACGCAGGGCTTGGTCTCACAACCCTGGGGTACTGCCCTGAGCTAAAACCAAGAGTCCGTCGCTTAACTGACTGAGCCATCCAGGTGCCCCTGATTTCACTATTTTAGATAATACTGTGGTGAACATCCTTTTATGTACATTTTGGGATATTTGCCATATTTTTCTTAACATGTCTGAAAGTAGAATTGCAGGGTCAGAGTATACACTTCGCCGGGGGGGGGGTTGATAGAGTGCCAAATTGCTCCCCCAGAAGTGTTCTAATTATCCCTCTAGCCATATGAGACTATCAAAATCGTGACATTTTAATATCTAAAACTGAGTGTCATTGTGATGCTGTCATTAATTCTAAACTGAACTTCTGAATTGCTTTTGGTTGCCAACTTATATTATTCAAAGATTGTAGCACATTAGGAAATATCTTTTGCCATTTTTCGTCTGTTGATCCTTCCTCTAAGATCAATTGATCTGTGGTTTGTTGATCGTATCTTTGTACGAGGATTATCTGTTTTCTGCATCATTTTTCAAAAATTCAGAGTTGCGTTGTGTAGTTTTTAAAAAACAAAACAAAACAAACATTATGTGGCAGTTTATGCCAGTACTACAGGATTTGTTTTCCTTGTAGTTTAGTTAACTGGAATTTATGTACAAAGAGGACGGGGCTTATTTCCCTCACTGGAAGCGCTCATATTTCTAAAGACTGACCAGTGAGGCCTAGCATGGGGTTCCAGGGAGGGAGGGCCAGAATCTCTGCCAACAGGTCAATTGGAGGAAATTATCTGATCGAGAGGAAATCAGATGCTGCAGTCAGCCCACAGTCAGAAGGCTTTCCATCACAGAAAGAATAAATTCTGTTTGTTGTCGTATTCAAGGCATACCCATACTACTACTAAGCCCTTCCCTTTGTGAATGAGTAAAATGTCTCTAGAGGGATTTTCTTTTTTTTTTTTTAAGATTTTTTATTTATTTATCTGAGAGAATGGGAGACGGAGAGCATGAGAGGGGGAGGATCAGAGGGAGAAGCAGACTCCCCACTGAGCAGGGAGCCCGATGCGGGACTTGATCCCAGGACTCCAGGACCATGACCCGAGCCAAAGGCAGCCGCCCAACCAACCGAGCCACCCGGGCGCCCCTAGAGGGATTTTCAAGGAACTGGTGATAGCAGTTATCTATGGGAAACCCAAGTGGGAGGAAGATTTATTTTTCACGGTATACCCATTTGTACTGTGTTTGAATTATTTACTGTGTATGTGCTACTTTTTCAAATTGTTTTTAAACTAATTATTTTTTTTAAAAGCCTTGCCTGCTCGTAGTTATATAAGATGTTAACATTAGAGGAAACTGAGTGAAGTGTATATGGGAATTCTCACAGTACCTTTGCAGCTCTTCCGTAAACATAAATTTATTTTAAAATTAAAGTTTTTTGGGGGGCACCTGGGTGGCTCAGTTTGTTAAGCACCTGCCTTTGGCTCGGGTCATGATCCCAGTGTCCTGGGATTAAGTCCTGTGGGGGGGAAGGGGGGGGGTCCCTGCTCAGCAGGGAGCCTACGTCTCCCTCTGCCCCTCCCCCCACTCATGCGTGTTTTCTCTTTCAAAAATAAATAAAAGCTTAAAAAAAAAAAAAAAAAAGACTTTGACCAAGCTATGTATCTACAAAAAGTGCACCAAGCTCAGACTCTTAGATTAGTGGTAAAAATGCAGATGAGTCTCCATTTTTAGCAAGCCCCTTAGTGATCCTGATTCCGTATAAAGCTGAGTTCCAGAAAGAATCATCTGAGTGTGAGTGAGTGAGAGAGAGAGAGTGTGTGTGTGTGTGTGTGTGTGTGTGTGTGTGTGTGGTGGTAACTTGAAGGATGGAGGGGCTGTGAAGGCAGGGTGGTCAGAAGGCTGTGGCCAGTGTCCGGCAGACAGAAACGAGGGTCAGCATAGCTGCAGCAGGTACAGAGGATGGAGAGAAAGGATAGAGGCGGGAGCACTAGTGAGTCCCGGATCCAGGTGTCTGGGTAAGAGTTCCTTGTTCACACCAGGTGGGGAGAGAGAATCAGGAAGCTCATCTAGTTCCTTGAAGGGGGTGAAGCATGTTGTTAATGAAGGGAAAGAGACATTTTGATGGAGTGCATTTCTTGAGGCCAGTAATTGATCTTTCTTGCCTTTAATTCCCAGGTGACCATCCTGCATGCAGGTCATTTACTGAGCGCCTGCTGGGTGCCAAGCCCTGGAGACGCACAGTCCCTGCTCCCACAGCGGTCACATTCGAGTGGAGGGCGACAGACTGCACAAATAAACAAATGCATATTGTACATGATAAGATAATGTACATGCATATTGTGCATGTCTGTAGATAAGTCCATGAAGAGAAATGAAGTACAGGGGTGGGGAATGGGGAATGGGAGCCCTGAGGACGCTATTTTAGGTAGGATCGGCAGTGAAGGCTTCTCCGAGGACCTGACATTTGAGAGAGATCGGAATGAAATAAGGAATGAGGTTAGCCACGCAGGTATGTTGGGAAGGGCATTCTGGCAGAGGGAACAGTAAAGGTGATGGCCCTGAGGGGTAGAGAAGGGCTTGCTGACAAGAGACAACAAGAAGGCCAGTGTAGCTGGGGCTGAGTGAGGAAGAGAATGGCAGATGATGAGGTCAGTACAATCTGGAGAAGGCTTGTAGGAAAATATGTTGGTCACATAGGAGCTTCCTGACCAAGTGAGCCTCTTGCTGTATAGAGAAAAGGGAATTGGTGGAACATGATGGAGCTTTGTTTCCTGCTAGCTATACTGGAGAGTGACACAGTGTGAAATAGTGAAAAGAACATTGATCTGGAAGTGGGGAGCTGTGGCTACTGGATTACAGTCTTCCCTTTTGTCCCCATGTTAAGTCCTTCACTCGTTTTGTTTTGTTTTTTTTTTT